CTTTTCATTATTCAACATTCATAATATACCCTTTTATAAAAGATCAGTATCAAAATCTATATAGAGAATGTTAGATATTCTTACACAATATATAACAAAATATTTTATCGAAAAAAAAAAATCATATTCATTTGAAATTGTTTTGTCTATTTTGAATATATGATTGAATAGAGTTTCAAAAGATGATTATGAATATTATATTTTTGATTTTAAATTATGTTATTCTCTTTCGTTGTAAAAATCTTCGAATGCTAAAAAGACCACAGATATAATTAAAATCATTTTTTTTCTCAAAACAATTCTTGAATTTCTATGATCTTTTCGTAAATTGATAGAAGATAAGGTCAAATGTCTTATCTTATCGGAATCAGCCGGTTTCGAGTTATAAAAGCGCCCATTTAGTATTTTCAGATTTGATTTTATTGCCAAGAAAACCGAATATTTCTTCGTTTTAGTAATAAAACGGTGACAAAATGGTCGTGTTTATTGCAATTTCTTTCATGAAAGTTCAGTTAAAAAGCAAAATAAACAACATATTCCAAATCAACATGAAAATCTACACTACACCATAGATATTTTAGCAAAGTCACTTTTCCATGGAAAATACACTTCTAATCCCCTCAGCATTTTTCGTCTGAAATTTTTCCTTTGATTGATTTTTCATTTGACACAGAATTTGCTGAAATGTATTTGCACAGATATAGATTTTCATACTGATTCTGAATATGCTGTTTATTTTACTTGTTAACTGAGTTTTCATAATAGAAACTATAATAAACAAGGTCATTGTTTTTTTCTCTTTTACTACTAAAACGAGGGAATGTTTGATTTTCTCAATAATAAAACAAAATCTTAAAAAACTAAAAGAGTGCTTTGTAACCTGAAATCATCTGATTCATATGAGATAAGACATGTGATCTTATCTTATGTCACAAAAACCTAGATAGTTTTACAAATGTGCCTATAAATCTAAATATTTGGATAGCAGATTTTAATGTTATTTATTTTGAGTGTATGAGAACAATTTTTTTCTACTCAATTTTTGATGCTGAAATAGAAAAAAAAAGTGACTTTCGTTATATCTGTGGACTTATTAACATTCAGAGCTTTTTCCAATACAGGGAGTAGCCTAATTAAAATAAAAAGTACATCTTCGTAATCAACTGTTCAAGGTCTATTAAACCATAAATAAATCAATAAAAAATAAAATTCATTCGAATTTTGAGTTATATACACCTTAAAATAGACATAAATTTATTTTAGTAGTTTTAAATTAATATAAAAATTTTTATTCTTGCTTGATATTATGCTGAGATGAGATATTCAAGTGCATTACACTACAGAAATAAAATCTCATAAAGAAACGCGTTCAAATATTCAATAGTTTTTCACTTGAGACTATTGCTATTCAATCAATCATAATCTACGTTTTACTTGACTTTTGCTCTATGAGTGTAGAAACACTGAGAATGTGGATGAGGAAATTTTCGAGCTGAAATTCATTCACAAAAATCGAGTAAAATGCATATAATTCAACCAGCAAAGGCTAGAAAACTAAACCAAAACAGACTTATTCACTACATATCATGATCAATCAAAGATCAAAATCCTCAAATGAAAAACGATTTTTCAATTACTTAGTAGTACAATATCTTCTCTCTATTTAGTTGATGAAACAGATGGATATTCTACCATGAAACAATCTTCACCATCAGATTCTATATCATCATTATATAATGAATATGAAGAATTATTACTTAAACAAATTCTAATTCAATTTCATGTTGATCAAGAATGGTTTCCAATAATATTAAATATATGTCGAACATTAGCAAACATAGTTCGTGTAACATCTATAAATAATGATTCAACACCAAATAATGA